CAATGGACGTGCATCCAGGAAGGCAGGTAGAGGCAGCAATCACTGAACATGGAGGGGTGAGCATAGAGTGGGCAAGAGGGGAAAAAAATCACTAAACTAAAGCAAAATAGAAGAAAGTAATTAAAAACTTCCCACTCAAAAGGAGCCTGACCACCAAGTTCCAAACACTACAGATATCTAATACTAAGAAAGATGGATAACAAAATAAACACTCAGAACATGAATTTACTCCAAATAAAATTAACTCTATGGAACTGACAAAGATTTTTTAAATTAATATTTTTGCATTCTCACAGTGATAAATGAAGGCATGGTGAACAAGAAATTAGGGAACAGATACAAGCTGAACAAAGAATGGATAAATATGAAAAAGAACTAATAGAAATCTTGAAAATAAAATATGGTCATTGAAGTGAAAGTCAATAGATGAGATTAGCTCTGGAGTCAACCAAAATTGGAGGAAGAAGTAATTAATTAAAGGGATGTACTAAAGAATTCATCCAGAACACACTGTAGGAAAATAAAGAGATTTAAAACTATGGGGGGGAAAAGTTAACGTTCATGGGGTTCTATTGAGTGACTCTAACATATGTCTAATAGGAATTCCAGAAAGAAAAACTGAAAACTGAAGGGAAGAGTGCAGAAGCTATACTTAAAAAAAGAGAGAAAGAAAAAAAGAAATGACTGATGGTTTTGCAATCAACATTGGAACACATGAGCACTGAACAAGATAAATAAAAGTACAGAACACTTCTGTCACATTATAGTGAAACTACAGAGCAATAAGGAAAAAAATAAAAATGATAAAATCTCAAGTTACCAAAAGGAAAACTTTGATTATCTACGAAAGGACTTTAACTAGAGTTCTCATAAGCAACAAAAGAAACAAGGAACAAATAGAAACAATTGAATATCTAAGAAGTAATAAATGGAAGACTATCAACCAAATTAACTCATGAGTGTGATTTCCAGATAAGCTATCATTTAAGGGAGAAGGCAAAACAAAGACATTTTCAATCAGAAAAGAATAAGAGAGTTTACAACCCACCAACCTACACCACAGGAACTGAGGATTATACTTCCCCCAATTAGAAAAATAAGCCTAGAGGGTAAGTATAGAATACAGAGATACTGATGAGGGAACACATTGATAAAATGTGATGATAGAATTAAAAATAACTATTTTAGGGTTAAAAAAAAGATGGAAGGAAATGTACAATGGGTATTTAAAGCATGCTAAGGCCATCATGTTTAGGAGAGGTGTAGAAATAATGACTGCATATTTTGTCTATAAGATATTTTGTGTTTAAAAAAAAACTGATCAAGTGCTTCTAAACCTTCAGAGAAAAAAAGTATAGCCAAGGGTTGGGAAGATTTGAATAGAAAACCGATTGTTCAATAAAAGGATAGAAGGCAAAAAAAAAGTGTAAAAAAAAGCAGCACACACAAAATAGAATTAAGTCCAAATGTATCAGCAAGCACAATAATGAAACAGATTTAAATTACTTATTAAAAGACAGATTATCAGATTGGTTTAAAATAATATTCAGGTATACAATGCTACCAAAAGACATAAAACTAAACCTCATAAATACTGGACATAAAGAGAAAAAAAAAAAGACTATCAAAATATCAAAAAGAAAGCTGGTTAGGCATTATTAGTATGAGACAAAAAAAATCTTTTCAAAGCAAATGTATTAATGAAAATAAAGAGAGGGACACTATCAAGTTGAATGTACCTGATAACATAGCTTGCAGTTACAGAAGGCCAAGCCACCAGAATTACAAAGAAAAATGGACAAGCCCACTATCTGAGTGGGAGATTTTAACAATCTATCAAACACAGCTGTTCAAGCCAACAACAAAACAGGTAATAGAGATTGAATTGTGAAGGGCCTCTTGAGGAGGCCACATTAAGGACTTCAGTTTTATTTTGAGAGCAACAGGAAGCCATTAAAGGGTTTTAAGCAGAGAAATGATTAGATCAGATGTGCATTTTTTTTTTTTGAGAAGGATCACTCTGGCTTTAAAATGGAGAATGGACTTCAGGGTGGCCAGACTACATAAAGGCCTAGAGACCAATTAGAAAACTCTTCCTACCCTCTAGCCAAGAGATATTAATGGCCTGAACTATAATAGTGTTACTGGTGAAGAGCAGGTATTTCAAAAGGTATTCAGATAGCATAGTTGATTGGATGGCAGGTGAGAAATCAAAGTTAGGATTCTTTTATCTACCCTAGAAAATGTGATGAATGGCAATGTGGAAGAAGAACAGGGGGTTTGGGGAGGGAAGGGGAAGAGAAGATACTGTTTCCATTTCTGATTCCACTTAATTCTCAGCCCCTCATTTTTGACATTCAAACTGGTTCATTAAAATTTAATTATATTCAATAAACAAGGAGTATGTAAATAAATTTTAAAAATGTCTATCAAAAAATGTTCAATTTTGAATAGTTTGTGCTTATGGGATGTTTCAATAATCTGGGAAAAAATTGCACTTTAACAATACCAGAAAAATGTGTGTATGTGTGCTCTAAATAATCATTTTCCATATAATAATAATAGTCCTTTAAGATCACTTGTATTTCTACTGCAGATTTTCATACTGTTCTGTATATGATGGATTTTAAACCATGCCTGTATACTTAACTCCTGAAATAATACAACAGTCATAATTTTCCTTAGTGCACAGCTGGTATTAAGAACAAGTAAATCCAACCTGTTGACCTGTGAATTCTTACAGTCATAGATTTCATGACACATAACTTCTTTCCTCTTCCTGGTTGTTATTAATTACCTTTATTTACAATATATATTGAGTTTACAATATATGTTGATTTTTCCAGGAACAATGATTTTGCATTGACTGAACTTGGGAAGGGTGTGCATATCATAAAATCAAACAAACTAAGGTTACTTGTAAATGCTGTAAATAAGGAGCTATAATCCCCACAGAACTTTATTTAGTAGCTTCGGACATGAAAAATGTTTAAAGGACTTAACAGATTCCCAATTACAAATTTTAAGGTTTTGTATATATTTTACCGCCATTCCAAAATGCAAATGAGATTTAGTTATAAAGTTCCCAATGTGCTGTGCAATTTCAGCCTAATATTCTGAGTCATTGAGTAAAGTCTGAGCCTTATTCCAGAACAGAACTTTGGAAATTTCAAGGGAATCTGCTTGGAAGTCTGAAGACTGGAAGGAAGTTTCCTGGTCGTGAAAGACCCATAATAAGATGTGTGACTCTAGCATTGCCTCTTTTTTCTTTTTTTTTTCTCTTAGAAGTGTTTCTTTTTTTTTTTTAAGTGAGCAAAAAACCAACAGCAAAAGAGCAAAAGCAGACATACTTTATCAAATTAGCTGTGTCAGCAGGTTCCATTCATTTTTATTTGTAGTTCCCAATCAGATTTTTTTAAAAAGCTTTTCAATTTGCATACCATCAAGAGCAATAACAACCTGATCTAGTTTAGGAACATGAAAAGGAAGAGTTGGCCAAGTATTGTTCACTAAGACAGATCTTTTTAAGTAGGTGGAGTATTTCAAAAGACTCTCCCCTCACCCCCCCACTACTCCTTCTACTCCATCAGTGTCTACTATAGATCAGGAAAAAGCAGTTTCCAAAAAAACTGGAAGAAAAGTAACTGCAAAGTTAGCAGAGTGAACTTCCTACTGGAATGAAGAAGGCCCATGGGTAAAGGCAGGCAGCCCATCTCCTCCTCTGTTAGAGCAAACATGTTTGTCTAAGGCAGGGAATTCCTGCTGAGCGCATTGGAGCAAACTGGCTTTAAGGAAGAGAAAAAACTACACCAGAAGAAAAAGTTCTTATGGCATTTATTTCTTAGGACTGCTCAGAGCCTGCTATCTCTTCTACTATGTGGAAAGAAGTGAGGCCATCTTTCTGAAATAACATTGCGGAACTAATGTAACCCTTCGTCAAGCCCATGGAAGAGGGGCAGACTGCCGTTTCCCTTGATGGTGAAAACAGGGGCTGGTCTGAGGGTCCCATGCTGTGGCACTCCAGGGATCTCGTCCAGCCCAAAGCTGAGTAAGCATACCAGTTGAGGTTGTAGTATCTTTGTCTCTGGGCGGCAGTGATTAGTTGGGATTTTCTCAAACTTCTTCACAGTCTACTTAAAACGCTTCTAGAAATCTTCTGCATCCGTGGATGTTTTGTTGCCCTTGTCTAGCTTGGATTAATACTTAGTCTATAGGCACAGACCTGATCATCTACATTTGCCCTCTTACAGCACTAACTTATGCTTTCTATCTTTATCTTGCATCTACCTACCACTTCAGCATTTTATTTTAAAAAAATAAATAAATAAGGGAGAAATGTGGGATTCACATACAAATCAAGTATAAAAATCAAATTAATAATCATATCTGACTTGATTGTTTATAGTTCATGATGCGTGATCAAAACCGAAAGTTTCTGTGATATGACTGTCCTTGCACTGTTCACCATGTAAGAACTTGTTCGTTATGCTTCAGAAGATTGGAGACTGTTGAGAGTTAGGCTTGGGGTTGATTAATGATTGTGCATTGTGTCCCCTATACAGAATTTTATTGTTGTAAACAACCATTTGTTCAATAAATATGTGAGGTGCCCTCTCAAAAATAAAAATAAAAATAAATAAATGCTTCTAGAGGGTTTCTTCCAAAATGTTAATCATATCCCCAAAGGAAAACCAAACATACATCCTTTAAGTACTCTTCATCTTCCTAGAGAAATTTAGTTGCACTATTGACCTTTTCTCTAAAGGGGAGGGTGGGGGGAGACCTCTTCTTTTGCAGAGTGCAATATAAAGTCAAATAAGCCATAAACAGAAAACAAAGGTGAGGGATTTTTTTTTTGTTTGGTGGTTTGGTTTGGGAAGGGAATGTGGTGTGGAGGTTACTGTTGTGACATGTTACCTCTAAATATAAACCATATAACAGGAATGACGGTTTTTCCTGTTTTCCAAAAAAAGAGACAGTACTGCAGGGAGAAACCTCACCCAGGGGTGCCTGCCTGATGGTGCGAACATGTCCAGGCTCCTGTACAGGTAGCAGGCATTCTGTCAGAGAAGCTGGCAGTGGAAGGCCCTTCATCTGGCAAGTACTGGAGTGTCAGGCTACAGCACACAACAGATAAGAGAGTGTTTTTAAAGTTCCTGGGGCTGAACCAGAACAGTTTTTCACTCAGTTGCTGGTCTTTGGCCACTTTTTGTGGCATGGTACCATTTTTCCTTAATTCAAAGTGTCCAACAGCTCTGTGGAGGAGCTCAAAGCACAAGGTCCTCTTTCTCTGTTCCAAGTCCCCTAACTAGGAGAGCCACCAGGCAGGAGAAGGGTGTCTGGCCTTTTAGGTTGATGACTCTGACCTCTGCCCCATAACTAAGAAGGATGCTGGTCCTCTCAAGATTGCTTTTCAAGGCAGCCCAGCTGAGTGGGTTATCATTATAGTAATCCAGGGCACTGGCAGAGGTCCCCCTCTCTAGGAGGGTCCACACACACTCAGCCTTGCTCTTAAAGGCTTCCCAGTGCAGTGGGGTATCTTATTTGCCATCCAGTGCACTGGGGTTTGCACCATACTCCAACAGGACCCCTACACAGGCTGCACCTTTCTCAGCGGCAAGGTGGTGAGCTGTTTGGTTATAACAGTCCAGGGCATCCACCTCAGCAACTTTTTCCAAGAGTAACTCCACACAGCCAGCATCTGACACTGCAGGGGCTTCAGTGAGCCAGTGGGTACAGTTCACCTCTGCTCCCCCTCTGATGAGGTCCTCTACTTGGGAAGGAACGAATGGCATCAATTCTCTAAAGAAAGTTTTGTTATGAATGTTCTGCATAATATACCACATACTGGAACTCACCAAGGCTTAGATATGTTCACATGTTCTGAACGAACTGTATGATTGAGCTGGGTCACAAAAGCACTAGTCCTGCCTCTTAAATGATGGCAAGGATGTGTTTTGAAAAGACAAAACCTTTTTAGTGTCTGATTTTTACAGCTCACACGTATTCCAGGGCTGATGTTGTATTAAGTTTGACATGTGGAGTCTGCTGTTTATTATGAGCTGTTATCGTACAATTCGGACCATATCACTTCTTCAGTAGCAGCCCTCTGCATTCAGGAACAGTGCAAGCAAATAATGAAGTGGACTCTTATCCTTCAGGGCCAGTTACAGTATCACTCAACCTAAAGTAGGATTTGGCATCACTCCCTTAATGGAGAAATGCTAAAATCACAGAGGTCCTATCGAGATGTTGTAGGGTTCTTCCCTATACTGATGCACTATGCTTTTCTGATATTTTTCAAAATCATAACAACTTGCTAGTTTTAAATAGCAAGGAAAAAATTAGGCCACAGCAATAAAATTATAGTTCTTTGTCTTCCCAGTTGAGCTAGATATGTTGAGGAATTTTGTTTTTATTTTTGTGCTGACAGTAATTTTTTAAATCAAATCTTTGTACTATCAGAAATATATGTACATGAAAAGAAAGAAAGAAGGAAGGGAATAAAAGAAGGAGGAAGGGCCTGATGCACCAGTTGATGCGAATAATGCCCAAGATTTATACATGCTGCAAAGAAAGATTCATCAATTCTTGCAGATAGAATCAGCATCCAATAGGAAAAAATTAATTGCATCATTTACACAGTAGCAATTTTAATCATTACAGTAAGGTGGGAGGTCTTTAGTGCTTTCTCTAATTTTCAGCAAAATGTCCAGTGTCCCCACAAAGCAATTTTTATGAATTTGGAGAAAATGAAGACTCATCAAATGTCTGTCTTATTATTTCATACATATTTCTGTATGTAAGCTGAACTTCTCTCCTGTCCTAACTTCTCTACCAATGATTCCTGTAGGCAGTGGGGAAAACGATAATCACAGCATCTCCTGGGCATCAGGGTCAGTTAGGCTAATATAACTGGAGAAGCAGAAATTCCCTACATAGGTAAAAGCAGAGCTGAGAGTGACCACTGACCCCAAGGTAAGCAATCAAACTGAGCACTGCATAAATATGGAAAAAAGAGCACCAAGAAGAAATCTGAATAAACCCTGGAGGGAAGGTGGGCCAAAGGGCATGGAGCTGCAAGTTGATTTTTGATAAGGGTCACAGAGGTTCCAGGTCATAACTTTCCATAAATAGATGGGTCTCTTGACAAGACTATGGCAGAGCAAAGGCAGGGAACTCTATTTCTAATAATCTGAAAGCATTTAAATCCCAAGGCTTCATGGAATCATTAGTTCATTCATTCATTTAACTAATTCAATTTATTACTATCATCATCATTATTGGTACCAGGCATTCTTCACATTCTCTGTTAACCAGACAGATTAGTGACCCCCCATCTGATTGACCAGTTCCATGGATTCTCCATCTAGCTGTCTATCATAATCAAACATGGAGCTTTTTAAAAAAAATCTGCATGCCCTGTTCCTTTCCCTGAGCCATAAATTAGAATCTCCTAGGTGAGGACATGGTCATGGAATGAACCATAAGGTGCTTCACTGGGAACAAAAGGCTGCCATGGTGTCACGCCATCTGCCTTAGGCTGCGTCTTTCTGGAGCTCTCTGAAGAGGAGCCACAGCACAGGCTTGGGTGAAGAAGGCACCCCCATACAGGCAGCAACTCCCCTTCTGGGGACTGAAGGTCTGAGCAGTAGTCTTTGCTTACTGCTCCACTGAAGGTACCAGGCTTTACAACATCTTGATTGTTTGGTGAAGGTGTAGAAGTGATAAGTCAAAAGCACTGGAGATGGGTGTAGGTGCTGGTATATTTATCCCTGAGATTGTCCATAAATGGTTTTAGTTCATATACTACCAACGAATGCAGCTGTGGCTTATCTTCCATGATTTACACAGATGCTCTCATGAAGTTTTGGTAATTCTTATACACTTCCAACAGTTGGAGGAAGGGGGTGGTACAGGACTGTGAATAGGATCACAGACTCTGGGGCCGCGCTGTCCTGGGTTTAAATGCCAGCTGTGGTACCTGCTTGTTACATGAGCATGAGTATCCTGCTTATTTAAGCTCTCTGTGCCTCAGTTTCCTTGTTGAAGCATTAGGAGTAATTTCTCCTACCTTACAGGGTCATTACAAAGATTCAATGAGTTGGTGGTACCTGTGCAGCTCAAGAACAAAGTGTAGGACAACCTACAACAGAGTGTTAGGTGTACAGAATCAACTGATGTCAACAGAAGGGCTGTTTGTACCCCCCACCCAGGACATCAGGACCTTGCCATGGGCCTATAGACACATGCTGTGTTTTGTTTTGATAACTTCTTTGGCAAATTTGACAGACAGTGACCTGGTCAGGGCTACCCCTCACCTCACGTTGAGGCATAGGAACATGGAACAACCCTGGGAAAACCTGGAGTCCTAATCAGAGAAATGAAACATAATCATCCTTAGAGCCTCTTATTATTGCTTTGGAAAAAATCAGAGTCTGACAGCAAAACTTATCAAATAAACTCAATTGCAACCTGACTCTCCCCAAGCAGAGGTGGTGGGACCCTTGCTTGAGAGCCCACAGTGGTCTACCTGTGCCATTATTCATTATATAATCCTCATCACTGCAGTGAATTCCTCACAATTTCCCTGAAGTGCCTTCTTTTCTGGCCCTGGGCCTTAGCAGAGACTGTTCTTCCTGCCCAGAATGCCTTTGCCACTCCCACCCGCCCCTGTATATTGTGACATGGAATTACAATTGCCATTTGCAATTTATTTGTTAGCCTTCCTTACAACACTGGAAGCTCTGCGAGGACATTGGGTCTGGTTCACCATTACATCCTCAGCACCTAGCACAGTGAACAACACACAGCAGGCACTCCAAAAATACTTGAGGAGTGGATAGATAGTTAGACCTAGCTATCAATGGATCAGGGCACTTGCCACTTGCAGCTGTGTAACTCAGAGCAGGTTACCTGCCTTCTCTGATCCTCAGTAAAGTAGAGCTAGAATTACTTCCTCATAGGTGCTTGCAGTGACTAAGGGATAGAGCATGAGGAAATCAGGTGGCACCTTGCCCAGAAAAAAGTTAATGTTAATGGTTAAACCATGTTCAAAAAAGGAGCACAGCCAAGTGTACCCAAGCCTTTCATTTTCCTAATTTTATCTCTTTCCTTATTTAATAAAAATGAATGTTACAATCACAATTGTCACTATCAAAACCGAAAACAGGGGAGTCAGGATGAAAGGCCAGAGGTTCTGCAATTCTCTCAGGTAGACATTTATTAATGCTGATTCATTAATGGTCATATGACAACTTGTAGAGACCATGTAAAGCATAAAGGGAAAATGGCCAACTGAGAGCTCAGCCTACTTGCATGCAAGCTCCTTCACAAAGAAATTAATCCAACACAAAATCAACATTTGCAGAACAAAGTAAAAGACGTAATTTAAAGCCCAACTAAATGTGCCCTTCGACTTGCCCATCTGAGAAACTGGGCTTAGGGACAAAAGAGCCATTAATCACACTTCAGATACCTGAAAAATCTGTTTTGCTTCTTTTTCTTTTTAAGGATACCTTATTTTGCAGAAACTTCTAAAGAGATCTCAGAACATCACAACCACATTTCCTCATATCTCATCCAAAATATACTTTTTACTCATTTTTTTCCAGTTTTATTGAGATATGATTGACATACCTAAGTGTATATGTTTCATGATGTATAGCATAATGGTTTGGCAACATATGTTGCGAATCTGTTTTGCTTTTGATGATAATAGTATCTAACATTCATAGAGCACTAACTACATGCCAGAAAATTTGTACACTCTATTTCTTGTAATTGTCAGAACATAGTTATTTCCATTTTAGAGATAAGGAAATGCAAGGCTGCCACTGAAACTGTAAAGGTTTAGAAATGTGGCCAAGATCAGTTGGTTAGTAGGAACTAGACTGTGTGACCCCACAGCCTAGACTCATAACCGCTGCACTTCACTGCATCCTTCTCCCCCACTGGCCAGGCAGGTCTGGCCCCCATCCTGACTTACCATTTCATTGCAGAGTCTGGTTTCCTGAAGGTTATTTCCTCTAGTCCCTGAGCCAAGCAGCATCTCTCTCAGGCTAATGAATCTGAGTGATATTTACTGCTGGTTCACAGGACATCTGAACTGTAGGGAACCTGGCCCTGGCCCTTCCCACAGCGATCTCATGGCAGGATTACAAAGGGGTGATTTCTCTTTGTGCTCATTTAGGCATGGAGACCCCAGTGAGCTCCCTCACTGAGGGGACACAGCCACTCAGGCCAATGCAAGAGTGTCTTAACCGGCAGCATGAGCTTTGTAAGAGAAGTAGAACTGGGAATAAGGCAGGTTGTGGTAACAGGTATCCACTGCATCAGGGCGGACAGATGCGTATTCTGTGTGGCTGCTGCATCCATTCCACTTGAACTCGGTGTCTTCCTCACTTTGAGGCCCAGCTTCTCCTGATCTCCCTTCCTAAAAGGAAAGGTGCACTGGGCTTTCATATTCATAGATGAAGGATACCTTATTTTGCAGAAACTTCTAAAGAGATCTCAGAACATCACAACCACATTTCCTCATATCTCATCCAAAATATACTTAAGTGATGTTTCTAGCTGTCATGGCCAAATTATAATTTGTAGAGCATATACACATCTGAATGCTATTTTCAAAAACAGGAAAAATGAGACCAATTCTGTAAGTGTCAACCACTTACAACCTCCATCCCCACCCAGGTCTTCACTGATAGGGAGATGAAGATGACCGCTCAATGTTTTTGAGAATATTCTCTAAACCACATTTTTGTACTGATTCTGCATGTAGAGTGTTTATTTG